CCGCTGGCGCGACATGCATGCGTTTGGCATGTTATGTGGTATCTTGCGCGCGTTTGGCGTGTCTGCTTCGTTCTGCCGAAGCGCCGTGCCATGGGCTGGCGCATGGCCTCTGTCTGTCTGGGCCTCCCATGGTGGTTTGTCGTCATTGCGGCATGATCGTGTGGGTCTCAGCCGTTATGTTTAACAGCAGCAACAATCCGCCAGTTTTTCCCCAGCGGCTGAGATATCCCACGAAGGTTAATTCGTCCATCGCATGTCTGTGCAAATTCGCCCATCCAATCGGAACTGGATCGTGCCCAAAATTTTCGATTGAGTTTGCCCAGCTGGCCCAATTTGGTGCGGGTGCGGATCGAACGGAATCACCCAACCCCAACTCGGCACATTTCAATGGGAATTTTACTTAGAATACCATCCGCGTGTCGTAAATGATTTTCGCACCGTGTTTCTGCCCATTCTTCTGGGCCTCAATGCTGAATACTATTTTGAATCTTTTGAAACCATGGTTATCGTGCGCGATGGTAGCAATTCTAGATTGTGTTAGCGGCGTGCCGTAATAAAATTGTTTATTCCCCAAACACATTCCGGACGGTCTTCGCCGGAATGCGCTGGAGTGATCAAGCATTGCGGTTTCCCATGCCAACGTCCTCGGACGTGGGCGCCCTGCCACGAGCGCGTTCCGGGAAGATGCTCCCGGAATGCGCTGCAAAGATATGGCCACATTTGGGGGGCGCTCCCGGCACCGCTCCCCCAGCCTTTCTGGGCAACCTCCACAGCGCTCCAAGAGGGCCCAAGACGCTCCCCAAGAGCCCCCAGAATGCGAAAGGATGGCCCACGACGCTCCCGAGCAGCCCAAGTCAGCCTTCCGACGGCTCTCGAGGCTCCCAGGTGGCCTCCAATTTTAAGAGACCCCAAGAAGTCTGATAGGTATCACGGTACGGTCCGAAGAGGCTTTTCAATTGTCTTTTCAATGTTTTTGGCTTCTCGCGTTTTCGAGCTTCCAACGGTCCAAGAGCGCCGAAGAGCTCCCAAGACCGCCCCAAGACCACTCAAGAGACCCTCAGGACGGCCCCAAGAAGGCTCCATGCATGACTGCCGAAGAGGCGCCCAGCACAGCCCCAGACCACCCCAGAACAGGCCCAAGAGCAAGAGCAGGAGGCTTCCAGAGACCTCCGAGAGCCTCGGGGACGCCCCAGAAGCCCCCAACACCCCCTCCATCCTTGAGAGGCTCCAAAGAGACTCCGACGAGGCTCCAAGAACAGCCCAAGAGAGCTGCGAGAGCCGTCCCGAGAGAGCCCACAGAGGGTAAAATCGTTGATTTCCCATGGTTGTCCTATGTTTTTCGCCTTCTCACGTTTTCCCGCTTCCAGCCCTCAAAGATCGAGGACTTGGGAAACAAGAGAGGGAATTCCAAGAATTCTTTTTTTTCATCAAACCGAACTCCTACGAGACTCGGGGGTCCTACATATCCCCTGACATCTGGCTGGTACCGTGCCTCCCGGCTTCTTAAAGTTTTCGCGGGGTCTCCGAAGGCCCCAAGGAATCCGGGAATTGTGGATTTGGGTTAGATGCTCATCCATTCAGGACTCAGGACACTATGCCCGGGCCCGGGCGTACTGTCCAAGCCACCCTGAGCGCGCGCTCAGGTTCTAGCCCAGGCCGAGGGGGCGCTGGACGATCTTGGACAACGCTATCAAGCACAGGCGCGCGACGGCATCTGAGGAGCTTCTGGGGTGTTCCGCATGCTTCGTCAACTGGCTGTTGGAGGCACCTCTTGGGTGCTTCTTGGGGGGGCGTCTGAGGGTCCCTGGGGGCATCGGTTCTGCAATCTGAAGCCGTCATTGGCCGTCTTGGCTGCGTGGAAGGCCGACTTGAGGCCATTTGCGGCCAGATTGAGGCAATCCGGAAGCCTCCCGGGGGCCTCCTGGATGCAGTTTTGACGCATCGAGGGCATTCTTGGGTTATTTTCAAACCTCTTGGACGTCTCCTAGGGGCCTTTTAGGCCCTCGGGAAGCTTTTGGGGTCCTCGTCGGACCACTTGGGGGCCTCTTGCGGCCTCCTGTGGGCCTTTTGGGGGGAACGCTCTGCTGTTGGGTCGCGTTCCCCTTCTTGGGCCTCTCTTGGGGCTCTTGAGGCCCTCTCGGGCCGTCTTGGGCGCCTCAAGCACCGTCCTGGGGACCTCGCGGGCCGTCTTGGGGCCCTCTTGGAGGCCTCTTCCTCTATATGGGAGCGGTATTGGAAGCCTCTTGGGCCGTCTTGGAGCATCGGGATGCCAAAACGCAGAAAAAATAAAACCCGTCAAAACCCAAACCCAATCGTAAAACAATGAATTGTGCCTCTGGGGGCCACCTTGGGAGATCTCTTGGAACCTCGTCGGCCCTCTTGGGAGCTTCTTGGGGGCCTCTTGGATCCGATTGGGGGCCTCTTGGGACTTCCCGAGAACCTCTCGGGGTAGAAAGCTCGGATTCTCGGTTCGTGTTTCCCTTCTTGGGCCTCTCTTGGGGCCGTCTTGGGGCCCTCTCGGGCCGTCTTGGGCGCCTCAGGCACCGCCTTGGGGCCCTCGTGGGCCGCCCAGGGCCCTCTTGGAAGCCTCTTCGGCTATCTTGGAGCTGTCTTGGAGGCCTCTTCCTCCTCCTCGTCCCCCTCCTCCTCCTCCTCCTCCTCCTCCTCCTCCTCCTCCTCCTCCTCCTCCTCCTCCTCCCACTCCAGCTCTCTCTACTCCTGATCTCCCTCCTCCTCCTGCAGCGTGTTCCGGAAGGCTCCCGCCGGAACATGCTGTGCACAAGTGCTGTCACTGCTCGCGCCACCGTGCTCTGGGTGGTGGGTCAGAGGCCTCATGGGTGTTAGTTTGGATCTCGTGGTTGGCCTGTCGGGGACGTCGTGAAGGCAATTTCGCAGCTTCTCGGTAGCCGTTTTGGGCGTTGTGGGGCCTCTTCGGGGCTGTTTTGTTGCCTCTTTTGGCCTCGTTTGGGCCTCCTGGGTGCCTCTTGGGGGCCTCCTGCGGCCTCTTGGGGGCTCCTTGGGGCCTCATGGGGTTTGGAGCCGTGGTCCCCCTCTTGGGCGCATCTTGGGGCCGTCTAGGGGCTCTGTTGGGCTGTCTTGGGCGACTCTGGGGCCGTCTTGGGGCCTTCTTGGGCCGTCTTGGGGGCCTATTGAGCCGTCTCGGAACGTCGGACAGCCGAAAGGCTGGAAGGCCAAAATCGTTCGAAAACCTACGTAAAATGGACGATTTCGGCCTCTTGAAGCGCTCTGGAGAAGCGTCTTGAAGCGTCGTGGAGTGCCTTGGGGGGCCTCTCGGGCCGTCTTGGGCCCATCTTGGGCGTCCTGGAGCGGTCTTTCGGCGACTCGGGGCCCGCTTGGGCCGTCTTGGGAGCCTCCGGAGGCCCTCCTGGATATTTTGGACCTCCCCGGCCGCCCCGCCCTCCCATGAGGGGTCGGAGGCGGCGGCCTCCGAGGCCCAGGACGCGGAAACCCTGTAAAAGCACAGGGAAAATGAGCCCCGGTCCTCCCATGGAGGGTCGAGGCAGCTGTCTTCGGGCCCCGGGCCTGCTCCCCTGGGATATGTATGTATGTATGTATGTATGTATGTATGTATGTATGTATGTATGTATGTATGTATGTATGTATATATATATATATATATATATATATATATATATATATACCCTGCCCCACCTTTTTGCGTGCGGACACGCCAATGGTCAGAGTAGGCTAGACCCCCCTCAAACCCCCCAGCTACTGTACGCATCGGGATGCAAGGGTACCCTACGCCACGCATTTCCTAGGCGGCAAGCACGCGGCGCCTACCGCACCGCGCGCTTGCCACCTAAGGCGTGCGAGGTGGTGCTCCACCGTTCGCATACAGCAATCTGGGGAGGGGGCCTACGCTATCTTCTGGGCTACGGCACCAGCAGAAAGCGTGCCTCAACACGGAAGGGGTGGACCGCGGGTGGGAGCCCAAACAGGCTACGGACGTGTTGGGGCGGCGTGTCCTGGCCAAAGGGGGGAAGACGGGTATACGCATACAGGGAACCAGTATACGGACATACCCTGCCCCACCTTTTTGCGTGCGGACACGCCAATGGTCAGAGTAGGCTAGACCCCCCTCAAACCCCCCAGCTACTGTACGCATCGGGATGCAAGGGTACCCTACGCCACGCATTTCCTAGGCGGCAAGCACGCGGCGCCTACCGCACCGCGCGCTTGCCACCTAAGGCGTGCGAGGTGGTGCTCCACCGTTCGCATACAGCAATCTGGGGAGGGGGCCTACGCTATCTAACACCCCCACCTACTGGCCTTAAGGCTACGTAGGCCGTTCGTGTTTAACTCCCCCCCCCCCCCCCTGAAAATGGCATATTTATGCCGGTCCTTAACTTGGGGGTGTGCTGGGGGGCAAACCACAGGACTGCCTGGGAGGTCTGGACACGCCACCCGCGCCAGGCCACAGGCCTGACGCGGGGCAGGCACCGCACAGGGCGGCCGTAGGCGTGCCAGACCCCCCCCCAGCAGCCCCTTGGTTTGGCCCCCCAGCACACTCCCCCACTCCACGCCCTTCTCCAGCCCTTGCCCTCCGCACGGCACGGCAGCCTTTTCTGGGGTCCAAGGACCGTGAGGACGGTACCCAGGAGGGGGACAACACTCTGCAGCCGCCAGAGCGGCGCGGCAACGCCCAAAGGGCAGGCCGCGCAGAGTGTGATCCCCCCCCCTGGGTCCCCTTCTCACGGCCGCTGGGCCCCGAAAGGGTTGGCACGTTCGAGGAGGAGGCGACGGGGGGAGGCGACGGGAGGAGGTGACACGAAGCGCGAAGGAGGTGAGACGGGCGTGGGCCCCAAACAGAGAACGCCCCACACAACGGGCGGGCCCAGGGGCCCCAGGAAACCAAGACCAGCGAGAGAAAGAGAGAGAGCCAGGCGGCCCCACGGCGGGAGGGCGGTTGCCTTCGCCGCAGCGAAGACAAACGCCCGAATTTTGGCAAGCACTGCAGGGCGCAAGCGGTGGCCCTTTTACAATGGCCAGCTGCAGGAGCCGCAGTCCTCGCGCAACGGCGCGGGCTGCCCTGCTCCCGGGCTGGCGGGCACTGAGCTGGCCACCGCGCCCTCGATGCACAGGCGTGCGGTGGAGAGCCGCGCACCTGCACCAAGGCCGCGGCCTGCAATCCGCAGGAGCGCCACGGCCATCCTGCCGCGGACGACGACTGCCTCCGCGCAGTCCTTGCCAGTCGTGGTCTTGGACGAGCTGATGCGGACCGCGAACAGCTCGTCGACGATGTCGCGGTCGACGATGTCGCTCACCGTCAGGGCGGCCGCGTCGAAAGCGCCTGCAGCGCAAGCGATCCCCGCCATGGCCGCGACGGCCTGGGTCGTGAGCAGCAGCACCCTGGGCGCTGGCCCATGCTGCCCCCATGCCCTGAGGAGAGTCCCGCTCGGGCCAGGGTGTCGCCTCAGGCGAGGCGTTGCGAAGCACACCTCTGCCAGCGTGTTGCTGGCGGCCGCGCTGCCCGCACCAGAGGCCCACAGGTCCTCGAGGTACTCCGCGACGAGGGCGTCGGCGTCCTCGGGGTCGCCGCGCAAAGCGTCCGCCCCCGCCTGCTCAGCTCCGAAGCGGGCCAGCAGGGCCCGCGGAGCCCGCCCGTAGCGCCGCCGCGTCTCCGCCGACACTGTCAGGGAACAGAGAGTCTGGCAGCGCGTCCCGCGGCGCCTCACGGGCACGGGCCTGCGGTGAACGGCCGCGCGCGCGGCACGGGTCGCCCTCGCCTCCTGGGCTCCGAGCCACGCGGGGTTGTCCTCCGAGACCACGTAGCCGATCAGTGGGTACATGTCGGCCGCCACGACGACGGCCATCCGGCGCATCAGGATGGGCTGGAGCTTCCTGCTGCTGCTGCGGCCCCTCGTCACGATGGCCGCGACCACCTGGCTGTCGACGAGGTGCAAGAACCTGCTCCCGTGCTGCACGACCTTGCGGGCGCGCCACCTGATCGCCGACGTGGCCGCCTGCAGCTCTCTCACGTTTATGTGGGTGGAGTTCCGCCCGGGCCGCGCCATGCTGACCACCACGCGCCACTTCCACACAAACGGGTCCAGGCTCGTCCTCGGCCAACCTCGCGGGCGGTAGGGGACGCCGCAGTCCAGCCTGACGTCCGACCCGCCCTTCTCCGTGCGGCTGAGGTAGTGCAGGACCAGCTGCCTCGCCTCCGCGGTGTCCGGCTCCCCTGGCTCCGTGACGAAGGCCCCCGCCTGGTCCCACGTCGCCTGGCACTCGCGGACGGGGGACACCTCTTCTATCGACAGCTCCCTGTCCAGCGCGCCGCGGCGGTGCAGGAGTTGCTGGCGCAACCATGCCACGTCGTGAATACTGAAGCTGTTGCCGAGGAGGAAGGCCCTGGCGTCGAAGGCGTCCTGAGGGTTCGAGCCCTGGGTGGCTAGGGAGGTGTACCTCGGTCTCCCTGGCCAAGAGCCGCCCTCGTCCTCCCACGCGAGGTCCATAAGCGGGACGCCAGGGCCCACCAGCTCGTCGTAGACCCCGCGGTCGGTCAGCCGAAGAGGCGCCGATGAGGTGACGCCCCAGCTCGTCCAGAACAGGCGCGGCCTGCGGCACGGCACGAACACCGACGAGCACACCAGCGTCGGTCTCACCTGCAGCGCCTCCGAGATCAGCTCCACGTTGACGCTGGACATGCTGGCCATGTTCTCCACGAACCAAACGAGCTTGTCCCTGAAGACGGCGGCGAGGAGAGCCAGGATACGCGGCACCTCGTGGAACAGCGAGGACTCCCTACTGCTGAGGCCGCGCCCGCCGACGTCGAGGCGTGACAGGTGATGGCAGGGGCTGCCCGCAGCGACCGCCACGGGGTCGACGAGGCCGCCGAAACCCTCGAACAGGTCCCGCACCGTCTCGCTGCCCACGCGGGTGACGTCGCCCCAGCCGATGACACCTGGCCAGCGGAGCCTGACAACGCGCCTCGCCTTGGCGTCCGTCTCGGCCGCGACGTAGGCCGCGATGCGGAGAGGCAGCCTCGAGAAGGCGACGGCGAGGCCTCCGATGCCGTCGAACAGGCCGATGAGCAGCACCGACAACACCCCGCGGACTGCCCTGGCGGGGACGCGTGGGTTGGCTGCCGCCCACGGTCGGGCGGGATCCTCGGCCATGTCGAGGAGCCTGGCCCCTATCCCCAGCTGGTCGGGGACCGTCCTCGGCACCTGCAAGGCGGCGGCGACATCCTCGCGCAGGCCGGCCGACGTGCACACGCCGCCGCCCATCTCCAACGCGTCCGAGGACGTGACCATGCCGTCGATGCGCGCCCGCAGCGAGGAGGCGGCCAGCGGCAGGACCATCACGCCCATGAGGAGATCCTCCACCATCTCCGCGTCCAGGTAAGCCTCCTGCGCTGAGGACGCAGCCAGCGCCCAGACGGAGTTCAGGACCCCGAAGAGCGGCCGCCTGAACTCGAGGACCCTCGCGAGCATGCCGAGGGCCGCCATGGCAACGCGCCGCGGGACCAGGCGCCGCGGCACCGCGGCCATGCAAAGGCCCGCAGTGGCCAGCGCCTTGGAGGCGGGGACCGCGAGGCGCCCGCCGACGCCGTCGACGTCCGCGCCCATGCGCTTGACCCTCAGCTGCCTGCAGTGCGCCTTCTCGGCCGAAAAGGAGGCGCTCGCCCTCTCGCAGCTGGCGCGGACCTGCAGCTGGAGGTCGCTCGGGGCCCCTACGAGCTTGCAGGCCAAAACCTCCTCGACGATCTCCGGCGCATCGAAGTCGTCGATGTAGCCCTGCCACCAGCCAGCGTCCTGGCCGCTGCCAGCCTCGACCAGGGGCCGCGCGCAATCCCTGCGCCACTCCCCGTCTAGGGGAAGCCCCGCCCCGAAGGGCGGCGCCAGGCGGCACAGCCGTCGGTGAATGTGCTGGAAGACGGGCACCGCAAGCGACCAGCCCATGGCGATGACAGCCGAGGTCACGTAGACGACGGGCTCCGAGCGGCCAAACAGCTCGCCCGCGAGCGGCCGCCCCACGGCCATGTAGGGGTGCCACGCGGGCGAGACCCGCCACACGAAGAAGGCCCCCTTCTGGCCGTCGCCCGACCACAGCAGCAGCTTCCCGTCGGGGATTGCGACCGCCGTCCAGGACGCCGAGGCCACGAGCAGCGCCGCCTCGCCCACGTGGGCCTTCAGGAGCGAGTTGCCTGGCACCATGTCGGGGATGAGCCTGGTGACCCGCGTGGCGCCAGGCGCTGGGGTGCCCTTCTTCTCCACCGCGAACAGGCCGATCAGCACGGGCTCGCCCCTCACGCGGACCAGCTCGCTCTCCGCGAGCGTGGTGAAGATGCTGAGCGACACGAGGTGCAGCACCAGCTCCTCCCAGTCCGCCTCCGTCTCCACGTTCACGCGGGCCCGCGGCGACGGGTCGGGCCAGTCGGACTGGTCGAGGGGCGCCAGCTCGGGGCGGCGCAGCCAGGCGCCGACCTCGGCGCCAACGAAGTCGGTCGCGTCGAGCGTGGCAGCACACTCCCGCGTGGGCAGGCCAGGGGCCAGCTCGCAGAGCCGGCAGGGGGGGGCCTTCACGCCTGTCTCGCCCTCGTACGCTGACTCGCAGCCGCTCGCCGACTCGTCGATCGCAGGGACCACGACCATGGCGAGCGGGTCCTCCGCCAAGGCCGCCGCTCGGCTCTTCAAATGCACGCAGACCCGCGTCTGCGCCTTCGACAGGGTCAGCCTGTGGCGCCAGCCTTCCTGCGAGCGGCCGCAGAACGCATAGTTGAGCGCCGCCACGCTGAGGTGCAGCCACGCCTGCTCGCTGACCTCCCGCGCCACGGCGCGGCGGCGGCACCTGCGTGCCCTGGGTAAAGGCACTGTGGGCCAGCCAGCGGCCCACCTCCTCGGTCGACGGAAGGGGAAGCGGCAGGGCGTCCCGAACCCTCCTGTTCGACGACCCTCCGCTCCCACAAAATGTGTCCGCACGCATGCTGAACGACCGAGCGAAGTGGCCAAGGCTGCCTGGGTGGCGTCGTACTGCTGCTGCCAGCTGCGCCGCCAGGTCGACCGCGACGATGCTCTTGCCGAAGCCGAGGGAGAGCTCGTCGGCCCAGCACTGCAGCGCGGTGGCCAGCGGGGGCTCCGCGACGCCCTCACCCCCCTCGCATAGGGTGGCACGATCTCCGCTCTCGGTAAACCGAGTTTGGCCTCCGCCGCGGACTCCCCCACCAGCACCCCTCGCAGGGCTCGCGCCTTTGATGGAGGCATCGGCCACCCTCCCTGAGGAGGCTCCACCATAGCGCGGGGCAGGCGGCAGGCTGCCGCCGCTCAGGTCCGACGGGGGCGCGCCGCCGCGCGAGCTTTGAAGGCTCGCAGGCGGTGCAGGGTGTTCGTCTCCACTGGCTGCTTCGGGAATTCCTTCCGCATCTCCGCGAAGGACATCTTCCACGGCGGTGGGGCTGCCGACCCCTGGCCAACAGACGGAGGCGCCAGCGGCGGGCGCGCCCCCGTCGGGCCTCCGCCCCATCCCGGCGTCCTGGCGGAGGCCAGGCGCGCGGAGAGCTCGTCCAACCTCGTCCCGCCGAGCTGGATGCTGCGGATGAGCTCCTCCTCCTCGCTGCAGATGGCCGTGGGATCGTTGCGCGGCGGGATCAGCACCAACCACCTCGCCGCCGCCCACGAGCCGTCCGTCGTTGCCACCTGCAGCGCCTTTAGGCGCTGGACGATCAGGTCGCAGGCGTGGGCCACCTTCCCCTGCATCAGCAGGTCCACCGCCTCCGCGAGGGTGCGGAGCACACGGTGCGTCTGCACGCCGATCTCCTTCACCGGATGCTGCGGCAGGTAGATCGTGACGAGGTACCACAGCGCGATCGGGCCCGTCGCGTCGACGGCCGCCCCCCCCCTCCTGCGAGCCCAGGAAGTCCGCCATCTGCTGCAGGCTCAGCTCCGTGAGGCGGCCCGTGGAGGCGGCGGCCATCCGACGACAGAAGGCCCTCCTCGTGGCCAGGTCGCGCGGCACCGCCGCGGGGTCCAGGGAGCCGAGGCCGTCCCCGCCGCTGCCGCCAGGGGGAGCCTCCTTGCCCTCGCGGATGGCCTTCGCGACCGCCTGCGCCAACTCCGCCGTGCCGCCGCTCAGACCAGCTCCTGGCGGCGCCCGCTCGGGCACGGGGCCCCCTGACCCTCGGGGGCCCGCGTCCGAGGCGGCCCTCGTGAGCTTCGCGGCGAGCTCGACCAGCAGGTCCCCGAGCGACCGCTTCTTCACGGGCTCCTTGCCAGCCGCCTCTGCGCCGAGGGGGAAACCGCTCAAACTGACGTCCTCAGCAGCCCGCTTCCCTTCCTCGAGGCGCACGCGAGCCCCTGCGAGCTTGCCCCCCAGGCCGCCCGCGGCAGCTGCCTCCTCGTCTGCGGCCAGCTCTGAGCCAGGGCCGCGCGACGAGCCACCTATGCTTCGCAAGTCGTCGAAGGGGGCAGCGCCAGGCGGGGCCCTAGGAGGACCTGCTGCGGCTGGCGGGCGACCCGTCGCTTTGGCCACCGCAGCAGGCCTCGCGGGGGCGGCGGCGGCGACCAGCGGCCCGAGGCATGCTCCTGGCCAAGCCGCCTCCGGGCGCGCCTCCTGGCACTCGACGAACAGCGCCCGCAGGTCCGTGAGGCCGAGCTCCTCCCCGTCCGCCACGTGGACCAGCTCGGTGCACGTCCCCGGCCCCTCCACGACTGAGCACGGGTTCCCCGAGCACACGTGGATGAGCGGGCGTTCTGTCACCGCGCTCGGCTGCCCAGGCTGGCTGGCCCACCAATCCCAGTAGCCGTCGTCGCGGACAAGGAACTCGGCCTTCGCGAAGCGCCACAGCGGCACTGCGCTGGAGACCCGCCGCGCCCGCCACGCGAACCGGCACTGCTCAAGGCCGCCTGCTGTGCTGCCCGTGCTGCAGTAGCATTCGCCCTGGGCCTCCGCCAACGGGTCGATCGGCACGGGCCCGTCCACCTCGGGCGCGGGCACGACGGCCTCCAGCGCCTCCCAGAGGTCCTCGTCTCCACCGTCGAGGTCCTCGAAACCCGCCCGGGCCACCCAGCCTCGCCCCTGCCGCGAGTCAGGCCAGCGACCGTCCCCTCCCAGTGCTGCCGCCAGGAGCGCGAGGAGGGCGAATGGCGGGCCTCGCAGCAGGCCTCGCGGCCACCGAGACAATCGTGGCCGTGACCCCGAAGAATGCATGGATCCTAAAGCCCAAACAGGCTACGGACGTGTTGGGGCGGCGTGTCCTGGCCAAAGGGGGGAAGACGGGTATGCGCATACAGGGAACCAGTATACGGACATATATATATATATATATATATATATATATATATATATATATATGTGTGTGTGTGTCGGTCAAGTTGGCAGTGACATGGGAGCTTGGTGGGAGGGATTTTTGAATGCGGTGTAAGGTGGGTCGCAGAGCCAAGCGTAATCAGTATCGTATGAACCTTGCCGTCCTAATCTCTCCATTTGACTATGGATTGCACCGCGTGCAATGTCCTCACAAACGATAGAAAGCCCATGACATTCTCGTGTACGCATGCGTTCCACGAACATCTTGGTCTTGCAGATGTGATCGAACCCTCCGATCTTGTCGATGTTGAGTACTACTTTATCAGGGTCTGCATCTGGGAGATGCCGGATCAAATTCATGACTGCGTCGGTGCAGCTTCGGAAAAGACATGCGAAGAAACCAACGCACATTAAATGTACAAGTACGAATCGCAGCAGCAAAAAACTTCTAATTAGACAAGAAAGCGCTTCAAATCAATACGGACGCTTTTGCAGTGCAAGTTTTTTTTCTCCTCGAATTCTCTCCAGACAGCAATGGGTGACAACGAAGGCGGGGGTGAAACAGACAGCGGCGCCCGACGTCGTCTAGGACGAAGGGCGGCGGCAGCGCGGCGGCAAAGCAGCGAAAAAGGAGGAGGAGGATCAGAGGACCTCCAAATTAGCCAGGCCGGGGGCTGGCTCAAAGGAGGTCGTTGGTAGGTCTCCGGGGTCGTGTAGGACCAGGCGAGCCACAAATCGCCGTTCTCAAATTCTAAAGCAACCGGTGGTTGGGAAAGGTATCGGGGAGAAGCGTTGGAATACCATCATGTGTTGTCACGCTGCTAAATAAAATGGCGATGCCAGCCTCCCGGTTAACTACAAACCACTTGCGTTTCTACCAGCTCGCTATAAAGTGACGACTTCGATCATGCAAAGACGCTTGCAGAATGGACGAGCAGAAGCACGAATGCGAATCTAAGTCTTGAAAAAGACAACATCCCAGCCCTATCTGAGCGCAATTCTGCTTGAGTGGCAAGTGGAACTGTGAGCATTTACGTCTTGCCCTTCTGGCCATTTGCTTAGGAATCGAACGTGCGCGCCAGGCTCGTGTGAACCCAGAAACTTGGAATTGAAACGCAGGCCTGGGAAGCTGAAGCAGCAGCGGGCCCGTTGCGTGCGCGATTGGATGGAATATATGTGGCTCTAATTGCGCCTCCCTTCCTGCCTTCCTCCCTTCCTCCGCCTCGTCCTCCACCTCTTCTTCCCCCCCCTGTGCCGGCGCGCATGTAACGTGTCTTAAATTTCTTAATGCGCATTTGGCGCATCTTCCCCCATGCATTATTTCGCGCATTTGGCGTGTTGCCCACGCGCCTCAATGCAACAATCGAAGCAATTTTGCGCGCCGATGCGCCGTGTAGGCGCCTGGCTTCTGCCTGTCTGTCTGTCTGTCACTCTGACAAATGGAATGCGCGCATCGCAACCAACCCCAATCACCACCAGAAATTGTTCGATTGACCCGGGTAGGGTTTATCCTCGACAGGAATCTGTCCGATACAATGTTGCGACGGTGCTAGACGGGTTTGAATTTTGGGTTTCGGTGCTGCGTATATGAATATGTGACATGTGTTTCGAACGCGATATTGCATTCAATCGCGTGGGCAAGGAGCACGCAAAGACGCGCCGAGCGCGTGCCCGGATGGCCTGGACTCGCCAAGCGCGCGCCGAGAGGGCGCAAGGGGCAGGGGGGGGAGGACGCCGAAGAGCAGATAATTACACGCCAAACGCGCGCACAAATGGCCTGGGCGCTCCAAGTGCGCGCCGAGAGGGCGGGGGGGGGAGGGGGGGGGATGAAGATGTGTGTTTCTTTCCTGCCAAGACACGCAAACCATGCAATGCATATCATAAGTGCTCGTCTTTTCCACATCTACTTGGCCTGGAAAGCTTGATGCTGAAAGCGTGCCCTTTTTCCTCGTCTCGGAGCGCGTCCATTAAAACGTCAGATCCAGGGAAACAGGAAGAAACAATTGGTAACCATTATGCTGCCCATTCTCTTTTTGGTCCCCCCCGCGCGCGCGCGCAGGTCAGCGCGGCGGGCGTGTGAGTATCAAATTGAAACGCTGCCGCGCGCAACGCATGAGTGTCAGGGCTCCGGCCAATCTTCCCAACTAGCTGAAGTTGTTCGTTCAATAGTTGCGATGTGTAGGGCGCCTGTTAGCTTCTCTCCAGAACGGTCTTGTTTCATATTCTAGAAATGAACGAATGGGGAATATTCAATACTTTCCTGAAGCATTCCGCTTGGAAGCTGTCCAATCATCGTTTCTCGGCTCTGTTGAACAACGCCGAGCAGAGGGAATACATGACTTTACTTGTGATCATCGCCTGGTAGATTTGTAACTTCCTTTTGACGCTGATTGAAAGTGTGCTTCCATGCTTTCGTATATCTGCAGAACTCCCCCTGCGCCTGCCCCAATCGTTTGTCTAATTCTGCATGTGTGTGCCGATTATTGTTGATTGTAGCCGCGGGGTGCACTAAATTGTCTTTTGCCTGTATTTCTTCCCCGTGCGGCGTGCATAATTGCGTCGCGTTGTCCACGTGCATAACTTGAAACTTATCCCAACGCAGCTCCATGGCAACTTGCCCCCCAGCTGTCGCGACCGCGTTCAATCAGTGTTGGGCATCTTCCTGGCTTCTGCCATAAATCCAACTATCGTGCGACAATGTTGATTGTTCGCTAAGGAGCCCCACCGCATCGTGTATCACCGCCGTCATCACCATTATGAACAAGAGCGGGGATGAATGGGCACCCTGGTGCAATGCCATGGTTTTGCGGCCTCTCTTTTGACTTCTGCCCTCCATCCGCGGCACAGAACATCCTATTTGTATAGATGTTTTTGATAATGGCCAAAAGACGCGTGGGTATACCGCACCTTCCAAGAGCTCTTAGCATCGCCTCCACACCGATTGAATCAAGCGCCTTCTTCCAGTCCAGCGCGGCGAAAGGTTGAACCAGAACCGTTCCCTGTGCTTAAGACTGCTAGATGTCGTCGTGCCAGGTGTATCGCATCAGCCGTGCCGCGCCCCCGGCAAAAGCCAAACTGGGTTGCGCCGAGTTGGTCTTCATCGCCAGCATCGCACAATCGCTTTAAGAGTAAACTTGCCACCATTTTGTACGCGACACAGAGCAAGTTGATCGGTCTGAAGTTGTTGCAGACGTGCGCGGGCCCTTCGCATTTGCAGACGGTGCTCGCCAACGAGCGCCGCCGAGCTTGAGGAACAATTTCTTCTGACCAACATGCGTTGCGTAACTTCGTGGGCCATTCTATACCTCCGGGTGTTTGAGCTACGGCTTTCCAGTATTCTGCTGGGGCACCGTGTGTTCCAGCGCCCTTGCCCCGATTGGGTTGTTGAACGACCTTCCCAACCTCTTGCGCTGTGAGCGCGCTCTCGCAGAGTGGCAAATGTCGGCCCCGACAGGTCTGTCGGTGAGAACTGTGCTGGTCGTGCTCTCCATTGCATCTTTTCCAAAAACTCCGCCATCGCATCTGCCCGTTCGGGGCTCTCCACCAACTTCCCCGTCAGATGTTGCAGGCGTTCTTGTTTGCGTGCGTGCTCGGCAATGAGCGCGCATTCGCTCAGGGGCGCGTCGCAATCCAGTTCAGAAGTGCCTTGCGACTATTATCCTTGACGGCGTTGCTCAAGCCGAAGAATTGGGTTCGAGGGGTTCGAGGCATAAATATCGGCGGCAAGTTGAGACATTTAGATCCGAAGCCACGTGCGAAACGATGCCAAATCAGGGCAGCAGTGATGTCCCACAATTTCGGCTTCAACGATAGGAGAGGGACGAATGCGGCGGCGCATTCCATCCCAAGTATGAGTGCGCATTTGGAACATAATTGACAGCATCCGAGCATGCATGCATGCCGAACGCACATGTTCGACGAATTCTTACGATACCGAATATTACATGGGCTGGTTCCGCGTTCGGTTGTCGGTTACAACATTGACGTGGTCAGTTTGGATATACGCACTAATGTGTAGAGAGCTGGCGCAAAACAAGATGATGCTTGAAGGCCACCATTATTTCATTCTGGCATACAGGCAACATTTGAACACATACGCTAATCATTACTGCCTGGCGCTGCTGTTCTGGCGTATGCGGACGACCTCCACATGATTGGTGATCCAGCCGAATACTAATCTGCATCATTTTGCAGAGCCAGGCTGAATTGCTCCGCGTGCTCCCAGCTTGGGGGTGCCCGCGTTAAATGGCCCATTGGCTATTGAGGTCTGCCCGATAACGCTGGCTTGGCAGATGTCTAACATTTCTAATGTGTGTGGTGTACAGAGGCGATTGGGACATGCAGTGGCGCGCGATGGCCCCGCAAGGGGACTACAAGTTGGCAGATGGCACAGGTGCGCGGACGCTTATTACACAAGGTCATGCTTGTTGTGCGTCAGCACATCTATGAGTGCCTGATTCTCTCGCGTGGTGTACGCTGCAGGTTCTGGAGTGCTACCGAAGCTTGGTGGCGGTGGGTTACTACTACTACTACTGCTACTGCACTACCATTACTACTACTACTACTACTACTACTACTACTACTACTACTACTACTACTACTAGTACTAGTACTAGTACTACTAGTACGACTACGACGACTACTACTACTACTACTACTACTCCTGCCACTACCACTACTACTACTACTACCACCACTACTACTACTACTACTACTACTACTACTACTACTACTACTACTACGACTACGACTACGACTACGGCTACGAC